AGAACAGGTCTCGACTGCCCTCGACAATCCTTCTTGCTCTCACCCCAGTTCTTCGCCTCCTTCCTTTCCACCCTAACCACATGGAAACCACTGATCTCTTTAATTGGTCTCGCATAGTTTGCCTTTTCTAGAATGTCATATGGTTGGAATAAATACAGTATGTAACCTTTTCAGATTGGCTTCTTTCCCACTTAATAACATGCATTCTAAAGTTCCTCCCATGTCGTTTTTACAAGGGCTCATTTCTTTATATATACCGCTGAAGTACTATTCCAGCCTGTCCTGGATGAGCCACAGTTTCCTCCCATCCATTCGCACGCCTGCTGAAAGAAACTTGGGTTGTTTCCAAGTCTTGGCAATGGTGAATAAACGTCCATCGTGCAGGTTTAGTGTGGAGGAATCCCCTTCCAGAGCAAATTGGCAACACACTAGTCTGCTCCCCTGGGCCTCCCCATCCCCTAGACAGCACCAAATGAAAGCCACCTCGCCTTGGGATTTTCTGGGACCCCCCCTAGTAAAATGCACCAAAGGCACCAATGAGGTGGTTAAGAAGCATGAACTCAGTAGATTAAATGCAAGGGCTCCTGTAGGAACCGGATTTGAATCCAGGCCCATCCCCTCATACTCTGCATCGCAAGCATCAGTTTCCTTAGCACTAAAACGTATAATGAGCAGCTCTCCTGCCCCCACGCCCCAGCTGCGTTTGAGGGCTGGAAATCGTGTGAGTGAAGGTGGGAAACATGTACCTACCCAGCGCTGGGCACTCAGCAAACAGTTGTGGTCTGTTGATGTTCTTGCAAGAACCAGTAAAACAAAACGTTTCTTTTTGATTCTAAACCTAAGAAGAAAGGAAAGGAAAGGAGGCGAAGGAGGGAAGGAAGGAAAGGAAGGAAGGAAAGAAGGGAGGGACGGGGAGGCGAGGGAGGAGGAAGGGAAGGGAGGGAAGGAAAGAAAGGAAGGAAGAAAAGGAAGGAAGAAAAGGAAAGGAAGAAGGAAGGAAAGAAAGGAAAAAGTAAAGAAAAAGAAAAGAAAAAAGTCC